GCTCTTGGGGCTGGAGGTGGTTGGTTTTCTCCGGGACGTTTGTGAGCTTCATGCCAGAGTCCAGGGAGGCGGCGAGGCTGGAGTCAGAAAGAACCAGCGCGCACAGGAGAAGGAAAGGAGAGGAGAGAGTGGAAGAAGTTGCCATCGTGCCGGGCACTCTGCCTCACCTGCAATTAAATTAAAAATAATAAAAAAAAAGAAGTAAGAAACCGATAAAGGGCAAGACGCAGACCTTGGACACTCGGATAAAAGCAGTTGGGGTGTCCAGAGCTGGAGGTGAGCTCTTCCCTCCTGTTTCCCTCCTCCTCTCCCAGCCCTGGTGACAGCAGCTGAGCCACACGGGCAGGGCCCGCAGGGCTGAGAGGTCCCAGCTTCACGTGAAGATGAGTTTCATGTGCAAATGAGGCCATCGATCAGCGGGACAGTCCCTTTGATTCCTGCCAGCCCCCCCTCCCCTCCCTCCCAGGGGCTGGGGGAGCTCCAGCACCAGCTGGCCAGGCAGGAAAACTAGAATGGAAAACAAGAACACTAGAAGGTAAAAGGAAAACTAGAAGGTAAAACAGGAAAACTAGAAGGTAAAAGGAAAACTAGAAGGTAAAAGGAAAACTAGAAGGTAAAAGGAAAACTAGAAGGTAAAAGGAAAACTAGAAGGTAAAAGGAAAACTAGAAGGTAAAAGGAAAACTAGAAGGTAAAAGGAAAACTAGAAGGTAAAAGGAAAACTAGAAGGTAAAAGGAAAACTAGAAGGTAAAAGGAAAACTAGAAGGTAAAAGGAAAACTAGAAGGTAAAAGGAAAACTAGAAGGTAAAAGGAAAACTAGAAGGTAAAAGGAAAACTAGAAGGTAAAAGGAAAACTAGAAGGTAAAAGGAAAACTAGAAGGTAAAAGGAAAACTAGAAGGTAAAAGGAAAACTAGAAGGTAAAAGGAAAACTAGAAGGTAAAAGGAAAACTAGAAGGTAAAAGGAAAACTAGAAGGTAAAAGGAAAACTAGAAGGTAAAAGGAAAACTAGAAGGTAAAAGGAAAACTAGAAGGTAAAAGGAAAACTAGAAGGTAAAAGGAAAACCAGAAGGTAAAAGGAAAACCAGAAGGTAAAAGGAAAACCAGAAGGTAAAAGGAAAACCAGAAGGTAAAAGGAAAACCAGAAGGTAAAAGGAAAACCAGAAGGTAAAAGGAAAACCAGAAGGTAAAAGGAAAACCAGAAGGTAAAAGGAAAACTAGAAGGTAAAAGGAAAACCAGAAGGTAAAAGGAAAACTAGAAGGTAAAAGGAAAACTAGAAGGTAAAAGGAAAACTAGAAGGTAAAGTGGGAGCTCAAGTCAATGTGGTTACACTGATATGGCCCTTTACATGAACATTTTTGCTTTGCCACAGAGAAGGTCTAAACACTAGCTCGTGAAGTTTTGGAAAGGGCCCAACCTAAATTTAAAAATCTGCGTTAAGTCTGAACCAAGCACCCCTGAGAGGAGCGCTATCAGTGTAACTACCTTAGATTATCTGTGTGGATACAGTTATACAGGCACAGTAAGTGCAATTTTCTGCTGCCGGATGCGGTACAGTTCTCAGCCCTCCCGGCGATGGAGATGTTGGGACGAACGGGACTAGGGGCAGACGGTGGCCTCGCAGGACCAGCGCGAGGCCCGAGCGGCTCAAGACACGCGCGTGCACGCACGTCCTGCGTCGGGGGGTCGAGACTGGTCAAGGGAAGACAAAACACTGGGAGTTTTGCGATAATCCTTCACAGCACGGCGGAGAAACAAGTCTTCTGCATCATCAGATCTGCAATATCAGATCTTCTACAGTATCAGATCTTCTGCACCATCAGATCTTCTGCATCACACCCCAGACGTGAGGCTGTCGCCAGGGAGGTGACTTAAGTCCCAAGAACACTGAGACCAAATCCTGCAGCACAGGGGCCACAGGCAGTTCTAATTCATTCTGCTTCACTGCAATATTCTTGAGGGTCTTCCTTCACCCCTGTGTCTGTGCTGCGAGACATGGCTTTGGAGCATCACCCAGGCTGGAGACTCCTGTAAGTCGTCCTCCCCTGTCCCTCCCCACAAAAACAAGGAAGGGGTGTTCAGCACTTCCAGCGCAGCCTTTCCCTGCGGAGCAGCTTTCTCACACTGTCCCTCTCAATCCAGGGAGCATTTGAAACCAGAGTTCCCTGCAACACTGACCAGCAAACAAACGCAAGCCCACTCCTACCTTCGAACAATACAGTCACAAAGTTACAGCCACAGCTCTTCACTGGGCCTCCTGCCCATCTTTTCTGCACCCCAGCCTCCAGCCGAACCCGATTTCCATCTGTCTGTTCACCAGGTGAACCGCTTTGTGCATCGCTACCAGGGCTCGTGCTTCCCTCTCCAGCAGCTTTGCTGCCTGGCCAGCCCTTGTCACCCATGAGGGGCAGTAGGCGACATTCCTGGAGGGACAATCTCCACCTTTTTGTGGACCTGACAAGAGCCAGCCCTGAGAACAGCCTTGGCTCTTCCTTTCGTCTTTTCTTTCAACCTGTGAGGCTGATGTGGAATGTTTTGAGCCAGCGAAACCTCCGTTGTCACAGCAGCCCCAGACTCGTAGAGCATCCGGGGTGTTTAGAGGGAGAGGTCTTTAACTGAGAAGCCTGCTCACCCATCGACCAGCTGATTCTGCCTTGCCAGCATTCATCTGTTACTGCTCAGACCCTGGGAGCAAATTTTCAGTTCAGACCTCCTCTGTAAAGAGGAAAAGCAGGTCTTTCTACTGGCCATCAAGCACAACAAACTGCTGCGTGGGCACTGATTTAGGAGGTGCTGGCAGCTCGTTTGCTGAAGACCCAACACTATGGAATGGTATTTTATTGGCAGCTGCTTGGGACAAAGGAAAGCCAGACTGACAGCTGAATCTGTTGATGAGGCGCTTGAGTCCTGCTTCAAAACCCACGGAACCAACAGCAACCAAGCAGAGCTCCAACTCTGCATCCACAGTCTTTGCTTTTTCCTAGGATTTTCTCTTTAAGAATCAGAACAAACCAGATGGATCAAGGCCTCGCTCAGAACAACTCAAAGAGCCAGAAACAGCATCTTACTTTTTCATCTGTGAGCAAAACACCAAGAGGAGAGAACAAGCAGGAGGAGAACGCGAGGCAGGTGTCTCCAGTCGCCCTCACAGACACGGCCTTTGGTGGTGAACGTGACACATTAGTTCCAGATTCTGGTTTCCAGCAGGAGCTAGAAAGCAGCCAAATGTTGCACAGAAGGTCTGCTTGCAAGCACAGAGGGCATTTACGCAAGCTGCCCAGCTGTCTCTGAGGCACAACACGGGACGAAGGCGAGCTCGAGCACACGGGTTGCCTCATATTTGTGGGGGCAAGAGGGCAGGCTGACACGCTGTCTTGTGGTGTCACTGGGAATATTGCACTAAAAATGCAGATAAATACCTGTACTGCACCCTGTTCAGTGAGATTTGAGCTGTTTGCCAACCCAAAACAGCGCATGGACGAGTTTTGGTGCCTTGAGTTAACGCAGCACCGCCGAGCTGGAGGTGTCTGAGCCTTCTCTCAACCACTTGTCTCCGTGCCCTTGTCTACCCTTTAGCTTCAGAAACCTCCTCTTGCCTCCTTCATTTTTCTTACCCTACAGAAGCCTTCCAAAAGGCACCTCGATAACCCAACAGCATCCCTAGCTCTCCTCAGCCTCAGAGCACCGAAGCAAACTCCACCTTCTCTTGAGTGAGGACCAGAGCCCACAGGAGCCGTCCCTGCTGGCTGCTGCAGGTGGTAGCGAAGTCCTGGACATTAGGAAGAAATTCTTCACGGAAAGAGGGGTCAGACCCTGGAACAGGCTGCCCAGGGAGGGGGTTGAGTCGCCATCCCTGAATGTGTTCAACTGTCGCTTAGACGTGGTGTTGGGTGAGGTGGTTTAGGGGTGAGCTTGTAGTGTAGAATCATAGAATCCTAGAACAATTCAGGCTGGAAAAGACCCTTGGGATCATCGAGTCCAACCATTGACCCTACAGTAGGGTTAATGGTTGGACTTAATCCCAAGGGTCTTTTCCAACCTGAATTGTTCTAGGATTCTATGACTGATTCCTCACACTGCCGATACACTTCTTCTGCAAAGGGAGAAATTCTGCCCCGAGACTTATGCGAGGCAGAAAGAACCCCAGCCTTGTAAGGAGGTGCCTTCCCTAAATTTCTCTGACACAATCGCACCTTACAACAAGGATTCATCCTCTTCTGACAGGGTTCACGTATTACTAAAGGGAATAGCCAAAATGCTTGCCAGGCTAAGCTGCCCCCATAGTTCTTCGCATCACCAGACCCTCCTTACTCCACCCAATGCCTTGCACTTCCTTGATACACCCTCAGGATTACGATCCAGCCACCTCTCAAGGTAGCAAACCTGCCTGCTAGCAGGAAAAGGTGTGAAGCAAAGACAAGGCTTTAGAGCTGCCCAGGGTGCAGGCTTGGGACTGATGTCTGAGCAGCAGCGCTGCCTCTCGGCCGCTATTCCTGATTCGTTTTGGCTGGCAGGTGTCGGTCACGATCCTGTAAGGGAAGTTAGGTGGGGTTTTTTGCATCCTGCATAACTTTTCCTGTGCAGCCTCTTTCCCTGGGCACAGATACAATTGCTATTGCTCTGCTCTCCGCCTGTAATCCTGCAAGGCTTGAGTAGGTGCACAGAAACTGCGGCATGTTTTCCCTCTCTAAATACAGTTATGTCACCTTGGCTCTGAAATGGGCTCTGAAATGGCTCCTGCTCTATTTGTTCTGAGTTTGACAAGAAGGGACATCAGGTCGTACACATTTATTCACATATCTCACTTAAAACACGGCACCTGGCAGTCCTGGCTTTAACTTTTCGCAGAAGTTCTTCATGTCACAGCCAAAAGGAACAAAATTCTCCAACCAAGAAACAGAGAAAACCAAGATCTTTTATGACCCCAGACCACAAATTTTGCAGGCTGAACCAAGCCAGACCCAGGCACGTATGCTGGGCCAGATTTCTCTTTGGCTCTGATAAGCTCAGGCTTTGACAGAAAGATTTCCTGGACTCCAGGCAATCCCAAGCTGCAGCAATAGGCAAAGTGTGCGCGTCTCCAGGGGTGCTGTGTGTGTGTGCACGTGTGGCAGAGGGGACAGATAATGAACCCAGCTCGTGTGCCA